ATAAACGATACGCCAAAAAAGGAAGAACTTCTGAAGCTTAAAATAGTTTTGTGAAGAACGTACAAAATGTTCTCACTGAAGTAAAAAAGTCATGAAATTTTAATTCTTTGGCTTAATGGTTTACTTTGTTTTACAAAAAAAGATATCTTAAAAAAAATAATCCTTGTCGTAATGCTACAGTTCATTTTAGGCACATAATGCACAAGTTCGTTTCTTCAATGCAACTGGGCAGTATGGAATTAAAATGAAAATACTAGAAATATATTTTGCTCAGGCATATGCTGAAACTTGTAACCAAGAATTTTTTTTAGTGAAGGATTTTTATGAAGACTCTTTTACAGTTCCTTCACTTGGAAAAACGACAAGTCAGGAAGCCAAAGAAATTTGTGGATCAAGGTTTTTCAAGAGGTATTTTTTAAAAACATCTTTCAAAAGATTTTTTATTTTTTTATTTACGACTTGTTGCCAATTTGCTATTAAATGTCATTAAAAACTTTCAAAGTCGTTTCCAGGTATTTCAACAAATGACCATTCTTTATGATTTTTTGTTGAGGCACCTTAAAATACTTGATGTAGAAGAAGTGCCTCACTACAAAAAACTACAAGAGTTTGTTCCCTCACCACAGGTAATCATTCACCTTACTGCTTTAAAAAAAAAGCCTTCCAGCTTTACAACTTTTACAACCAGTGCAGTTCTTCAAGAAATTTTATTTACCATGTCTAATTTCAAACCATTCTTTTTAAAACAGCATAGTGTTTAACAGCAGTTAATTTAGTCAGGTTAATAATGTAGCATTACCGAAGAAATTTACCAACTCTGTTAAAGCTCGACAAATAAAGGTATACGATGTATAAATCTGCTCATTTAACCAAATTTTATTTCTGCTTTTTTAAAACTGGTTATACACTACTATTTACGCCTGGAACTGTATTCGATTTTTTATAGCAAAGAAGACTGTGTGCCGAAGATTTCTTAAAATTATGAAATAAAGAAGTAAGAAACCCTTAAGCAAAAACAGCAAAATACTTAATAAAATTTACAATTGAGATAATGTTCTGTTACTGTGAACTGTGAACCATAAAATGATGTGGGTCAATTTGTTATTTAAATCAAAATCGATCTCCAAATTATATTCTAGTCTTCAAAGAAGTACAGTAAGGTATTTGTTCGCAACAGGTGGTTACAAATGCTATTGATAGGCTCAAACAGATAGGGAATACTAAGATATCAGCGGTTCGTGACGAACTATTGGAACACCTTAATGCCATAACCGAAATCAAATTTATTTCTGCTTTGCATGAAAAATGCAGCATGGTGAAAAATGCGGTGAATTTATTCTTTCAAATTTCAAAGCTAAAAGTAATAATAGCTGTTTGAGTTTACCACCAATTTTTTCCCATGGTGACCTTTGGTCGTGCAATGTTTTATGGAGAAACAAAGTCGAAATCATAGAAATTGCGGGTATTATCGACTGGCAGGTTAGCTGATAG